GCCAGACAACTACATTGGTTCGAGCAACAAAGAAACGTTGTAAATATTTGTTTTGGCGATGCGGTCTGATTTTTTACCGGGAATTCTTGTTCATATCCACAGTTACTTTTTCCGTTAATACAATGTCACATTTCTGGATTACAGTGTATACCTTATTTAAAGAATGAGTCGTAATGCTTCATAGAATGTGTCCACTTTAAAGCGTATTGTTGTTATGTGTTGATGACACACAAAACACACCAATCACTGGTCGTCAAATACAGTTAATGTGACTAAAGTACATTAAACCTAATATATCTGTTATATCGTCTTGATGTTCATCGCTCTTTGAGAAGTTTGCACAGCACAAAAGACGGCTAATGTTATACAGAATGTATGTCTGAATGTACGAATGGGTCTTTTCCCGCTAATACCTCAAAAACAATGGCTTAATCGGGATGGCATTTTGTATTAATTAGTTAATTGCATATAGTTACTTACTCGTTGTGATGCCTTTATCTAACTAATTTTGTTTGAATGCTAAAACAAACAGTTGTATAATAGAGGTTCAGTAAGCATAAATAGTTTAACATTTACTTAACTTAGAAGCATTTTATACCATTTATATTATGGAGATTTGTAGTTTTTATGCCAGGTGCTTTGTGGGAATGTCCACTGAGAAAACAAAATGTGATATCGCAAGTGTAATACATTCTGCCCATCGTCTTCAATCGATATCTTGTACTATCAATAATTATGAATGCGTTTCTAAACTTTGTGATATTTTAAACTATAATTGTACATTTTGTGATAGTCGTCACATGAAATCATTGGTGCATTATTTATTTTGATTCTGTGAGTTAAGTAATAACTCGTGATCCAGGCTACACAGATATGTTTTTTTGGCTCCCATTCCGAAAACCTATTCAGGGTACCAAATGAATTACCGCCGTTCTGTACAGTGCGGCCACATCCTTATTTTTCACATGTCTAATACGATCTCATTCAAGCATTACACATAAATCCTAAGTGACATGTGCACGAACATTAGTTTCATGGTTCAGTTTAATATTGTTATCGGTTACCGCCCAATATCGGTAGTTGATGTGGTTCATATTTGGGCGACAACCTCATAATACATTCGTCATATGAGAAAGCATAAAGTTGGATTCAATCAGACATAATTTTGTATTAAATGAATGCTGAGCTAAGTTTCTGAAATGAATATAATCAAACAACATCTACATTGAACATGAGATTATTGTTACTAACTCTAATTCATTTTAGTGCTGTTCATAAGTTTAATATTGAACTTTTTGTGTGTGGTTCCGAAAATGAATGCAAATTTCGCCAGGAACAGACAAGGTGTGTTGGTAGTCAGTCATGCCCGGGTAAATCCTAGGATTACAATACGTGTCCAACAACAACAACTACAACAACAAGAAAAATAAAATAAAAAAGGCAGACCCTACAACGATGTTTAGGTAAATGCATATTAGTCGATATTAAAGTAAAATAACGATGTCTATAAATATTTGTAAAAAGACACCCTTTTTGATGACAATTACCCTATCATGAACAAATCCCAAAGTTGTTGGCTGTTAACATGTATTACGGTCTCAGGAGTAATAGACTCTCCGACATCAGAGAAAAACAGGTGTATTGAATTAACTTTTGTTACATGCTGTTTATATTATCATGTTTTTTTCTTATTGTACAGTTAAAATATTGCACGATCATATCAATATACTGCCCCTGTTGTGTGGTCTCGTACAATTTATTTTGTACTCAAAAAAAATATTTTAATAATACTCTGTTATTAATATCAATACTTTCTGAATAGGCAAATCTTGGTGGTCGGATTCCCAGAAGCTATAATGGTAAATATAAATTAGTCATTACAAAATGAATCGTTTTTGTAGTTACATATATCAATGGATACAATTTGAAGCAAACAACTCGCAATGCAATATGTTCTTATTTCAGGGCCTGCGTTGATTGGTACTGGCGAAGATATGAAGTTGTACACTAAAGGTTATTCTGAAAGAAAGTGGGATGGTCCTCTTCGAAGTTCATGCTGTATGATGAGAATTGCAGTTATGCCTGACGGTAGCTTACTTGGAGTCGGTGAAGACAATCAACTATATACTAAGACGTCAATTTATTCTGGCAATTGGAAGGTCGTTGAGGGCAGTTGCTGCATTCAGGATGTGGCCGTGAAGCAGGACGGTACAATCATCGCTGTATCCTCAGCCACAGGTACAAAACTGATGACTCGTCCCGATTTGAACAGTGAATGGACAACCAGCCGTAAATTCAACGATGTTGTCCGCATCGATGTACTGCCAGACGGCACAGTTTTAGGTGTCACTAAAACTGGAGGACTCAAGCGACGTGTTGGTGGATTTGATGGTACATGGCAATACCAGAATAGTTTTGGTATGAAAGCAGACGACATTTCAATTCAACCTGACGGAATCGTACTAGGTATTGAAAAAGGCGGATGTGGTGTTCACGCCCTTGACTTAGAGACTGGTAAATGGGGAGAACAATTACCTGAATCTGAATGTGTAACAGCTATTGCGTCTCCTGGCAATTTGAGTGAGTACAGTGTTCATACATACGAAAATAGTTTCGTTAACAGAATCATTATTTGCATTCTTGTTTTTTAAGATCAATTTTAGTACAAATGCTACTAAACCAAGCAGCATATTATATATTATATAAACTATTTTTTAATGAAAATATGATTTATTAGTTATTATCTTCACTTTGTGACATATGATATAATCAAATGTACAAAAAATACCTTCTGAAAAGTAGAGACGAATATGCAAGTGATTGTAATTACTTCTATTATGTTTTAGAAGTTAGGTAAGCTTGTGAACACGCTGAAGTTCTGAAAACTAAGACACAGTTGAACAATGAGACCCATTTATATTACATTTTTGTTCATTACATTAGTACATTTTTATACTTTTGTACAATTTGATAAATATTATGGAACATATAAATATGAGCGTATATACTTTGTAAAGACTAATACGTCTTTGGAAAGCACAATTGAGTGATCAGTAGGAATTGTAGTTGACAGTATATCTTTTGGGTTTTATTTGTTGGCAAATACGAATATTATTTATTTTAATGTTTACATAACATTAACATTTTGGACAGAATTATTTCGATCTATATTTGGTAGTTTTAATAGTTATTTTTTTCCGCAAAAACTGTCGTTTGCATATATTATTACTTTATACCAAGTTTCTAGGTTAAAATAGGTAAACTATGTATTAATCATAATACCGTCTTATCACGTAAGTGTATGAAAAAAAATAATTACTAGCTATAGCAACATATATATTTCTATTTAAAGTATTCCCTGAGGCGACTGAAGAACCAACAACTGTTGAACCCACAGAAGCACCAACCGAGGCCCCAACAGATGCACCAACGGAGGCCCCAACAGATGCACCAACGGAGGCTCCAACAGATGCACCGCCACCACCACCACCACCTTCGAGTACGTAATCATTCAATAATTAAAATTTTCAGACTGCATTTTAAAGAACCTTACTATGGGCTACAAATTCCCCCTCACAATATTGGTTGTTATCAGTTTGTAGTGTTATAATAAACACATAAATAACTCTAATGTCTACAACATTTAATTCGTTCCCAATAATTACAATCCAGACATCTCGTGACATACTATTACTTTGTGATTACTCGACAATGTTTTTCAAATATTTACATATTTATTTGTAGAATATCAAGTTTTTACTGACTTAGTAAAAAACAGAGATGCTTACGGGGAATGCTATAAAAGAGGTATGATGCTTGCTGTCCCACATGATAAGAGTGCATATAATGACATAGTTAATGCAATCAAAGCCAAGGGGACACTGGATGCAAAACGTTTCTGGTTTGGTATAAGATCAATCGATGGAGAAATTAAAACAATTTATGGAAGTAACGCTTACTACCGAGCATTTGCACCTAACGAGCCCAGCGGTGATGGCGGCTGTATCAGTCTTTCGTAAGTGATTTTTTTTCAATTTCCGTCAATATATTTGAATGCATCTGTCACGTTCCCGATTCAAGTAGCAGTCCCTTGACATTATGTCGTGGTCATGACACTCAGAATAAGTGTGATTGTTTATAACATTAGACGTGGATTTCCGTGAAGTGAAGCTCATTATACGTCCTTCTAGCTGAAAACTTTGCAGTGAACTTGAGGTGTGAAGATTATAAAGAAAAAAGTAATATTTGCATGGAGGGTTAAACACATACTAGACAATAGAATACAATTGACCTGTCCTACCAGATCTATCCATAGTCAAGAACTTCTTAACAGCAAATTATTTCCAAGGGTAATTTTAGTGCATTTTAGATAATATTTCAAATTAAGTTATTCAATTGGCATGTTTTTGTTTTACTGTTTATTTGAAGGCACTTATATTAGCAGCATTCTAAAAGTCAATTTAGTGTTCAAGCTCATCATAAACTCTCATTGAATTTTGGTTCTGTCAGAATACAAAAAACGGATACTTTCTCCGAATAATAAGTTTTTTTTCTATTATTTATTTGTGGTTAGTTTTTGTTTTTGTTATGCTACATTATATTGTTGAATTATATATGTCAATATATTTGTTGTATTTTGGGTGTATTTAAAAATAATTTACCAAAGATATAAGTCGATTAAGGTATGCTGGAAAATGTACGGTATTCTGTTTTTCCTCAAAGGGTGGAAAAAGATTATAAGTACGACGATGTCACCTGTGGGAGCCAGGGTATGTCCGTATGCGAACCCCTAGGTAAGACTTTTATATGTGAGCTCGATTTTATGTTTTGTGACTGGAAACTATCCTCAGACTTGTGACTTGACACTGTCGTTCTTTTTGTTCATTCGTTTAAACATGTAGGCATGTTTTAATTTCTTACTATTGAAGGACAGTTGTTGAAATACATGATAAACTTGGTAAAATATCCTATGATATATATCATATGATTTGTATATGTTTAGTAAGTAATCATTGCTAATTA